ACACTGATCCTACTTGTAAAATTTTCATTTGTGTAACTTGTTTGAGGCACAACAGTGAGGACACTGTTGAAATTAAGTTTGGGGGAGAGTATTTTGTTGATGCACCACAAACCATGTTTGTTCTTTAGAAATTTTTTTAGTTTGAATTAATTTCCTATGTTTCAGTTGCTGTTTTGATTGGATTTGTTGTTTTTAGAGTTGTATGAAGTTTTCTGTTGGTTTGGTTGTTTGAGTTAGGAAGAGATTTTGTGCTGTTTTGGTGAAAGGGAATTTTGGATATGAGAATGGATTTGAGGAGTGTGATGTTTAGCAATGAGTGGTCAGTATCACAACTAAGCAGCTGAGAATTTAAATAAAGGAAAAGAACTCAGGGTAGTTTTGTGGATGAAGAGTGACATGAGTGTTTTAAATGATTGATGGGTAAAAGGCAGTGAGAGGTTGAGAAATTTAGTTGATTAATGCATCTTGTGAATTTTAACAATAAGCATGCGAGATGGTGACTTTACCAACACTGTGAGATATTGAGCCTACACAGCAAATTTTTTTTCTTTCTCCATGAGGGGTTCACACTGAGGTAGTGAGGCAGAACTTGCTTTGGTGCTTAGTTGAAGAAGTGTAGCATTGGCTTGAGTTTAAAATGATGAGGGCAATTTGTTGTTTTGTTTAACCATTTTCAAACCAAAAAGCCATCCATAGATCATCATCCATTGAAAACCCATTTTGAGCCTTTGACCTTTTCTTTTCACATACCCACATTTTATCTTATCCCACAATCTATTACACCTCTTAGTTATGATGGAAACAGAAAAAGAAGCAAGAATTTTTTTTTGTTATTTTTATTTTTATTTTTTTTTGGTTGTTTCTAAAAAAAAATAAAAATAAAAAATAAAAATAAAATAGAGAAGGAATAGAAAGTAAGAGACTGCTAATAAAATGAAAAGTTAAAAAAAAAAAAAAAAAAAAAAAAAAAAGAGATTTTCAATAAGAGAAAAATAGCAGTCAAAGTAGCAGCCACTGAATTAGTTGATTATGCTTCATAATTGTGTTTCCTTTCCATCATAGCTAAGTCAGCCAATCCCCCACAAATGTTCCACCTTCACCTTAGCCAAGTTACAACTTATTCAAGTCCCTTTGATTAAGTTCAGGTCTGTGTGTCACTTAGAAGACAAGAGCATCTTATCAAGCCTATGTCAAAGCTATTCCTAGTGTTGAATTGAGAGAAACAGAACCCTTGAGCATTGAGTGAATAATTCTGTAAGTCAGTGAGGCTGTGAAAAGTTGCCATCTTTATTGCCTTTTGAAAAATATTGCATGCTGTGTTAAGAATTGAATTTTCAGAATCTCTTTTGTCATTATTCAACAGTCAGTGAGGCACTTATGCATTTGGATTTCACACACTGTTTGCTGAGTAGTTTTATGGAATAAAAGGATCATTTAGCTGCCTGGTTTGTGATTGATGAATTGCTGAACTAAATACATGCATCTGTTCCCTTCTCTTTATGATAATATGAGTCACTAAAAATTGTGAAAAGCTGAACATTGAAATGCTGATGAAAATGTTTGAGATTGTTGATTGATTCTGAGTAGCTTTGAATGATGTGATTTGAATGATTGTTAGAGTGGTTAATTTGATAAATTTTGGATCTAACTTCTTGTGTCACTTGAGGACAAGTAACAATTTAAGTTTGGGGGTGTGATAAGTCCATTGTTTGTGACTTAGAACATGTAATTTGATATTAAAATGGGAGTGAAAAGAATATCCTTGTTAATAAAAAAACCCCAAAAATTGCATTGAAGTGAATTTTTCTGATTTTGATATTAATGGGATGATTTTATATGTTCAGGCCCAATTGGTGTTAATTCTCCATGCAGAAAAAGAGTGAAGAAAAATTGGGCAAATGCTTTGATCAGAAGCCCAAAAATGAGAAAGCAAATCAGAAAAGAAGATGGGCCAGAGGAATTAAAACCCAATCAAGTGGCCCAAAAGAAGAAAAAAGAAGAGGAGAGAAAGAAGTCAGCATGAGAAAAAGAAAAAAAATACAGGGAAGTGATGGGCCGGACCTAAAAAGCCCAAAAGGAAAGGAAGAAAGAAAGCTAGATGAAGAAAAATCAAAAGGAAAGGAAGAGACAGAGTCAGAAACGAGAAAGGGCTGCTAGAAAACCCTAGCACACAACCGACCAAAGTTCCTGACCACAAAGCAATTTGCAAAGCCAAACCATTCTTTGTATTTGGTTTATTTGTCAAGATAAACCCTCAATCACGGTTCATTGAAAGATTAACCAAACCCTAGACACCCTTTCCTCATACAGAAAACGTCAAAACAACAACCCCTTGCTGAGTGGATGAGCTGGATACTTTTTGAGAGTGGAGACTGGAGCGATTTGTGGGCGCAAGTTTACGTACGGGGTGAAGGAGCAACAATCCATTTAGATTGTCTGAGGAGGGAGCTGTTGGGGACCACCGGTGTGTAACGCGCAAGGAGCGCGTGTATACCTGCTGAGCTGGAGAGGAAAATCGCGCAAAGAAGGAAAGGAACCCTATAAAAAGGGAAAGAGGAGTGAGTCAAAAGGACCCTTTTTTCCCACTCCTGATTTCTGATTTATCGTTTTTCTTAGTTTTTTGTTTTCTGAACAATTTTTATTTTCTTTTAATTTCTGTTTTGTAATGAGATTCTGGTTCATTTGATGAACTTGATGCATGTCTTTACAGCACTGAGATTGCCGGTTGTTAGGCCAGTGCTGTAATTTTAGTTTTTAGAATTTGTATTTTGTGATTTCTGTAGTCTCTGTTACTGTGTGTAAGCCTCATCCATATGGATAGTGGCTAACTTTTTAGAGGTTGGGTTTTGGTGATACCCAAAACCTCAGTGCTTGTTAGATCTTTGATTTTCTGGTTTTAATTGTTATATCTCAGTTGTTTAATGTTGTTTCTAATGTTAAAAATTATCTGCATTTTGGCCAAATGTCAGATGTTTGGTTAGGATTTAGTTGTTGAGAAACAATTAATTCTGGATTCTGCATTAGACACATGGACTTAGATGAGAAATCATCTAAGGGATCTCAATTCAGAAATGAATGAGTCCTCATGTAATATTGGACCTGAATCTCAAGAGTCCTAACCCCACTTGGCATAGAGATATGGAAGTGGGAAACTTTGGGATAAAATAATTTTTAAGAGATTAAAAATTAACAATACAGCTCTGTTAACTGAGAATCTTAGAATGAGCTTTTTGTTAATCAAATTATTTTTCAAGCACTGTGGGGAAGGAGAACCAGAACTCAACCCACCTTTTTAAACCTCTTTATCAATTCAGATTTTCCAATTTCCTTTGTTATTTCATAGTTCAATCTATATTCTGTTTTCAAAATTTTTGTCACATCTGTCATTTAAGTTGCTTAATTCTTCATTCTTATTTTATAACTTAGGAAAGTAATTCAGAAAATTTTAAAAGAAAAGTGAACAGTAGTGTTTTAGGTCCATTCTAAATTATTTTTACTTTACAATTTTATTTCTTTTATTTTCAAATAGTAACTCAATTTTAAGCAATTACAAATTTTAGTCATTTCAAAACGCCAACGATCCTTTTGGGAACGATAACTGGGACTTATAACAGCCCTATATTACTTGTTGTCGCGTATACTTGCGCGCATTACTTGCACAACTGTTAGCAAGGCAACAGCTTACTTGATTAATAAATGAATGAAACTCGAGCATTTTTTTTTTCTAGAGAAGAGGGGAATGAAATTATCCTAAGTTCCTAACCTAATTAAGTTAGGCAGAACTTCAGCTTTATACGCTTGGCAAGCTATGGGGTAAAAGCTCATTTATGGTGGGATACGAATGCCTATGGGGTAAAAGCTCATTTATGGTGGGATACGAATGTAAATAAAATAAAATATAAGATATATATGGGTAAACTTCCTTTTTGCAGGCCAATTGTTTCTATACCATTGGTGAAATTCATATTTTTTTTTAGGTTATAAATATATAGATGACACGGTCTATTAGCCTATGGTAATCAGGTAAGGCCTCATATAATATGTTTAGAAAATATATAATGAGATTGATGTATCTCATATTATAGAAGATAAAATTATCTTATATATATATATATGGGGAAGGATTTTTTGACTCTAGAGTAAGACTTACAACTCTTACTCTCCATCTCAACCGTTGATTTCCGTCCATCTAACGGTTATTATTTATTTGAAATAAATAAATAATTAATTGTTATAGATAACCGTTAGATGGACGGAACTCAACGGTTGAGATGGAGAGTAAGAGTTGTGAGTCTTACTCTAGAGTCAAAAGATCCCTCCCCTATATATATATATATATATATATATATATATATATATATATATATATATATAAGTAGGTGGGATCATGTGAAAAGGTGAGAGAAAAAAATATTGGTCAAACACACTTTTATGTATGTGTAGAAGATAATTTCATCTCCTATACCATGAGAGATATTAAATTCATATATAATAGACCTAAATTTAAAAATATATATTTAAAAATATATATTTAAAAATAAGGTCATAAATTTATTTTTAATAGGTTTGATATCATATAGATTAGCTCATATTATATTATTTATTTAAATAAACAAAAAATATTATTTAAATAAAAAATATAATTTCAATTAATTTTTTTGAAGTTTTTGATAAATTTAATAGGCTAAAACTTAAAAGGTTAAGTTAGACTATAATTTAACTACTTAAATTACGGTAGGTCACGTCAGGTTTAAGTTCGACTAATAAATCACAACAAACTCAAAATATTTTACATAAATAAAGTTGGATCAATTCAGAAATAGCCTATTTATACCCCTAACATTGATAATCAAAATGGTGTTAGTAACTTGTGCCTTGAGAATATTTATTAAAAACACATAATACCGTTCATTACATTATTTTAATTATCTAAATAATAAAGTATATATATATTACATATGATCAACAATATTTTCCTTTTGGCACACATGGTTTCGGTCTCAAATGTCATTCTCGATAGAATCCTCCACTTTGCTTTTGCCATTCCCAGCCACAAAATCGAGATTGTATAGTATAAGTACCATTGCCATTGAAGCTAAGAAAGTTAACACAGGCCCAAAGATCCAAAGTAGAAGTGAAAGTGCTGAATAGAAGAGCCTATTCCCCACTATATTCAATATTGTCGCCTTCCCCAAAAGCTCTGTTAAATATTCTGGGGTCACCATAGTCTTAACATCTTGGGGTGTGCAAATGAGGATATTCACTTGACTCACAAACCTTACAGATAGTGTGTGACAAAAAAATGAGAATGATAATATAGTAAGAAGAGTGGCACATTTCAATGCCACCAAAAATCCCACATCTGCTCCAAAAAGTGATTCGTTGATTGGTTTTGTAACACTATAAGTGCTGCTTATGAGTGTCCCTAGGCCAGCACATAGGAGAATGGATGTCGTGGCCATAAGGGTTGATCCCATGATTACGTTTCGTAGAGATTGGACTGCTACTATGTTCTTCTTGTCAATATCCTGCAACTTCAAATCTTATTTGGTAAGTAATATGCTGAATAAGTAAAGCATATGAATGTTATATAAATAATTATAAACAGCGAGACAGTTCTGGTACAATCGTTGATATACATATGAATGTTATTTTATTTTACTATTTTCAACTTGAGACAAAATTATCTCTCACAGTTACAAAATTATGTCTTTTTAGGTTAGGGGAATTAATGAAGGATATTTTAAAAAATTTGTATGTTTTTGCTATATAAATTTTATTAAAATACCTTTCATTAACTCCCTCAATCCCCAAAATCACATAATTTTGAAGTTGCTAGATATAACTTTATCTCATATTAATAGAGTAATGATAAACCCTACCGGAAAATATACATGTATTTGAACATTACAAAACAATGAACCACAGCATGGTCTAGTGTATTGAAGGTGGAAGGATAAATTAAATAGTGAGTAAAAATTACAAAAGTGCGTAAGGGTATAATGAGAGCATGATCACTGGAAACCATAACTTACCGAACAACTGACCTTAACGGTGATTTCTTTTTTATCTTAATGCTTTCTCTCTCTTAGCGCTTATTATTATTAATTTGCATGTCTATTGAGACTGATATCCTCTCACTAAAGTCACATGAAATGAAAATACAAATTCACGCAAAAGATAAATTATACTTTCTTCATAGTAAACAGGAGTTGGCGTTGTAAAGGCAAAACTAAACACTACTTAGTAAGTTCAAAAAATAAATAAAACAAGTTGATCCCACATGTCATAATAAATGTGTATTTGTATAAGGATACCAAAAAAAAAAGTTGTATATGTATATATAGAACTCTAATAGCATACCTTCATCATGGCAGGAACCCAAAATCGCCGACCATCAGCGTCTATTCCAAAGATTGTGGCGAAGGGTTGTGTCCGAATCTTATGCCATAACCATACATGATATGCAAGGATGATCACTAACCCAAATGGCACAAGCATCAGATCCATATAATATTTTCTCCACTCCATTTATATAAACCTCGAGGGTAACCTCTTAATGTCACCTAGTTGAATGTACCCAGCTCTCTAATATGTGTGAATATACATAAGATCTATAGATATATAGAGAGAGAGAGCGAGCGAGAGAGATCCTAATGGCTACTTTGAGACATATTCTCTTCACGTAGCTACTTATGGAATCATGTATATTTCAATGAACGCAGTGAGACGGTTGACTGAAACGTCAAGACATTTTGTTCCTGGTTTCTACGAGCCTGAAAAAGACAGGGTATTTGGCGTTTACCAAAATTCCACATTTTATAACAATGTCACGACGGTCTTACAAATTTATCACCATTCGTTTTTCAATTTAAAATTAAACGGCGTGAATATTGAATACTTAAAATTTAGTTTATGTCAATATATAAGTTCTTCGTATTTTATTTTATTTTATTTTGTTTGTTCCACGGATATTCCCACCCATTTAAATGGTATTGATCTCTTTTTTATTGTAGAATGTGAAGATTTTTGTCACGATAAAATTACTTTTTCTAAAAATTTAACCAAATATCTTTTAGTCAAATTCAGCATCATTTAGGATAAAGAATTTATTGGTAATGATTACTTATATAATTAAGTTCATGTTATGTTTAAATTCAATAAAGTAATCCTCTATTATTAAAAAAAAGTATTTATTTTCATATTTCAAATTTTATCTTATCTTTTTTTTTTTGGTAGAAATTTTTATCTTATATATTATTAATAGTCATAAACTATGTAACACTGATACCGACACGGGACACGTGACACGATACGATACGACACTCCGACACGTTAATTCTGAAAAATGTTAGATTTTGACACGTTAGGATACGTTTTGATATTAAATAATATTTTTAATATTATTTAGTGTATATTATATTTAATATTCAATAATTTAACAAAAAAAATGAAACTAAACTTATAATATTCATTAATTTTGCAAAGAAACATAAGATATCCCAAATATTTATATATTAAACTCAATCAAATGATAATCGTAACCAATGAATCTAACAGTTGGAACTAAAAACTCAACGCAATGCAATCTTTGGACCTTTTTTTGAATTTCTATAAAGCGTGTTGGAGTGTCCGCAAGTGTCGGAAAGGTCGGACACGACACGTCAGGATTTTTGAAGTGTCGGTGCTTCATAAGTCATAAATGATTATGATAGAAAATAAATAGTCCTTGTTCTATTGTTAGATTAAATTCCACAAATATGAAAAGCAACTGCCATAATTAATTTTAATTATTTTTTGTCGGAATCTTAATGCAAGATTTGAAAATAATTAAAAGTGATATAAAATGCATATTAAAGCAAAAAATGACTAATTATGGCAGAATAAAAAATAACAGAATAAATAATAAAAAATTGGCCGATCGATGAGAGAGGACGCTGCCACAGCGTCAAATAAGTATCAAAAGAGAGAGTGCAATAAAATAATAAAATTAAAAAAAAAAATATTTGAAAGAACCACCGTAGAGAAAACGTTATATTTATAATTAAATAATTGAAAACGAAAAAGAAAGAAAACGGCACAGCGCCACTAACGTGAAGGAACTGATACGATTAGGATTAATTAGAAATGACAGCATTTTCCAACTATTTTCGAACTCTTGTTCTCAATGTGTTAAAATCGTTACAAAATTTTACTTACCTGCATATTTAATCAAACAAAAAAAAATCTGTAACTTCTAGAAAACTAAAATATTATTGTTACAATAGTGAATTTAAATTATTTTTTATTTAAAACTTAATGTATGAATAAGGTGTAATTTAAAAATAAATCAAAATATGTAGTAAAGCGAAAAGCTATTGTATATCCTAATAATTTTTTATTAAAAAAATTGACCGTTAATTTTGACAGATAACAGTTTATATTATTATATAAATTAAAAGTTATGTTATAGGAAGAGTGATTTTTCGTTTTGCGTGCTTTAATTTTTTTTTATTTTAAAAGGTGCGGGTCCTACAAAATATTGCGTTTGTAGGAAATTTTTTTATATCATGTTAAAGACAAACTAAAACCCCATAAATTAATAGTAAATGGGAAAGTTCAATATAAAAATTTTAAACAGAAATAAAAGAAAGTGTAACAGTATCACAAGCTAAAATTAGAATTAAATATTAAGAAAAGGGAAAGAAAAAAACAAGAAAGAAAGAAAGAAAACGCTGCAGCGAAAACGAGAAGCAAGCGTTATGATTAGGCTCCCTAGTTGATAAACTTAGCGTGAAGGGTACGGATGTTAATGATAGAAGGTACTGAGATTTATAGTTTCATATTGGTTGAGATTTATAGTTTCATATTGGTTATATGGGTCAACTAATGTGGAGTTTATAAAGCATTAGACACTCCTATCCTTTGAGCTAGCTTTTGAAGTGATATATCCTAAGATTTTTAATATGATATCAGAGCCTCATCGCCCCACTTTTTCTTATGGACTTTCTAGGCTGGACCTGTTATATCTTCTACGGGCTTAACAAGTGGCTGAGTTAGTTAAGGTGGACAAAGGGTTATTGGGCTGAGGTAGTGGCCCATTAACTATCAGTCAGGTTTACTAGTTAAAATAAAAGGGGCTGAGAATATACGAGGCCCAGAACGTACATTTCCTTCTGAATTTGCATTCTGTTTTTACATATAGTGTGGTAGGTAGGGTTGAAAGTGGGCTGGGTTGGGCCGAGCTTTGCCTCAAAAAGCTCAAGTCTACGTCAAAAAATTTCAATTTGGTCCGGCTCAAGCCTAGTATGAGTCTAACTATTAGCCTGGTTTGGCCCGTTTATTAAAAAAACAAATAGTCTGGCTTAACCCGTTATCCTGTTAATTTTTAACTTCCAAACAAAACCATGAATCAACTTTACAAAGTACTCAAATTCTGTTGCTACACCAAAAATCATAATTTCAACGTCCAAACAGAATCATGAATTATAATAAAACTAATACAATATGTATTTAAGTCATTTTCAAAAGCAAAATGCTCAAATTAAATAACATATAATTCATCAGATCCAACAAATAAATCCATACTATGTAAATTAAAATAACTACATGAATCCAACAAACATATCATGATGCTTGTAGTAAGTATAACCTCTGCCAATTTTTTTTAATATATTCATATACACAATCTAACATGTTGAGATGTTGGTTCCTCCTATATAAGAAATAAAGTAAGATTTCTATTAAAATATAATTGAATATGATTAAGTTATAAATAATTGGAATTGATTAAATTTATATCTTTTTTTTTCTTCAAGGCATACTTACTCTATTTTATTTTATTTTATTTAAAATAAATAGTACAATATAGGCCGGCCTGTAGGCTTATAGGCTTGGCCTTTTGAAAGTGGGCCTACGGCCTTTTTATATTAAACAGGCTTTTTTAAGGCCCGAGTCCGGCCTATTATACAAAATATATTAGGTCAAGTCTAGCCTGATGTAGGCCGACCCGGCCCAGTTTCACCCATAGTGGTAGGGATCACAAGGTGGTTTTTAGCTAAAAATCTTGTAACAAAGTTCTCTTTTCTCTCTCGATAAACTCTTTTGGAGTTGCCGGCATCCTCGAATCTGCCGTTGATAATATCAATTTCAGTGCATTTCTTTTTTGTGTTTTTGTTTAAGATAGCAAATCCTATCAATATATTATTGGAAAATACTACTCTCGTTATACATGAGATAATTATCTTATTTTCTCTCACTTCAAAAATCACACTCATTCTTTTTTCTTTTTCTTTTTTTCTTTTTAATGGTGGGTCTCACTTGAATTCTCTCTATAGCATGAGAGAACTAGTCTCATGTAATACGAGAGTAATATTTCCCTATATTTATTGTGTCAGTCAATTTATATTATTTCCTTTTACATTAATTGCTTATTATTGGTTAGTTACGGAAAATTTTAATTAATAAAGAATTGATTTGATTATACTTAAAATCTAAAGTTAGCATAATTACTTCTTTACTCTCTTTTTTATTGCTAACCCGATATTTTATTTGATTTTAATATTGTATATTCTTTCGAGTTTTTTTTGATTGCATATTTTATAACATTAATTATGTGATATGCTGATGTTAAAGAATTTAACGTGCGCTTATCAATTTTATCTTTGAAGTTCTAATTTAATTTCTTTTTATTTATATTAAGATTTTTCTCTTTAATCTTTCTCGCAATTTTACACCGTCCAATAATGTGCATTTAACACAGTACTTCTTTATTTCTTTTATTTTGGCAGTCTCAAATTAATAATTTATTCTCAAAAAGCAATATCAAATTCAAAAATTAGCTAAACAAATTTAGAAATCAAAGCTTAATTTATGTTTTGTAGTAATCGTTACCGTTATGTTTGGGTTGAGGTGACAATAGTGTGGAATATGGAAAAGTCACGTAATCCATATATGGTGATTTTTTTCAATTTAATAAGAAAATTGTAATACCCATGGTCAATTATTACCTGCGCCGTATTAAACTCTCTAAAATAAGGGGAAATCTATGATTTATCAAATATAGAGTAAACTCTTTTTGGATTCCTAACAAAAAATATGGTTATCATTTTCGTCCCTTACAAAAAAAGTTAACTTTTGGTTCCTCTATAATTTCAGTTTTTTAAAAATATGGTCCTTCAGAAATTCAATGAAGATCCAATTTAGTTCCTAAAAAAGGATTAATATGGATTTTTTTTGAGTAAATACTCTTTTTAATCCCTGGAAATATCCACGAAGCTCATTTTCGTCCCTAGCAATAAAAAAAGGACATATTGGTCCCTTAAATAACAAAAAACAGGCCACGTTCATCCTTCTGTTAAATCTCACCCAACGGCCCAACTAACGGTGCACAGTTGGCACGTTAGTTTGCTGATGCAGATTGGATGTGGTCCACCGTGAATCTTGAGACAATGACGTTTTGATAATCAGTTGAGTGGATACATTATAAGCACACGACGTCGTTTGTTGAGTTGAGATTACTTATCAACTATACTGAAACTTACCGTTGTTAG